GATCACACAACAAAAGATGCTGCCCGCTCAGATTTCTGAATCCGCTTCAAAATCGACCTTTTGACCCCCACACTATCGATGCACTGGAAACCCTGGACCATTGAAAAGTCTGCAGCATGTCAAACCGAACGTTTTACATTCCCAGGAGCTGGGAGTATGCACAAAGAATGCGATCAACCAGATTTTTAAATGGCATGTCATCGATGATTGGGACTAAGACCATCAACTTGCTACACTTGAGATTTTAATCATGGGGTTGTTACTTAACTTTGAACCCAGAGATAGTGGGGGTCACGTCCTAGAACACAGCCACGTCTATTTTTTTTAAGGTTTCATTTCCTTTTCATTAGGATTTTCATCCACGAGAGATTTGTGTCTCCAATTTTAAATCCCTGGCATGCCAGGTACATGTATAAACTCACACAACGCATTGGGCTTTCTACTCGGTAGTTCACTTATAAATGGCCTCGTGAGAATACGGAGTAAACAAGAGATGTCCAGCTGAATTTGCATTTCTAAAAGGTGTAGTAAAATATAATGCTGGAGCAAAATAAGGGTTTAATCCATCAGCGGGTTAACCCATTGTACGTGTGCAAAACTTATTTTGAACTGTACGTAGCCAGTTTGAATCAGAGGTGGGGGAAACTAAAACAAAGCAGTTTAAATAAATTAGTTGCCAATCTAGATTTAAAAGTGGATTCCTAATCCAGAGGATTTTTGGGTTAGATCGTGTAAATATATCAAGGATGCATTTATGTTTACACGATCTAACCCAAACACCTCTATTATGGATAATACTGGTCACGAAAGCCTAGATATTAAACAGGCTCATAAAGGTTTTTGGGTTAGATCGCGTTATTTATAAGTGTGTCGTAATCCTCCACCACCCGACATGGCCAATCAGTAAAAAAGTGTCACGTTGACAAGGCAAATAGTCCACTACTTTAGCCCACCGGTGTGTTGAAGAGCGAATCCACAACATTTACAGTTTGAGTACGACGTTTCCGCTGGTAATTACATCCAGCATCATCGGGCAATTCGCCAGAATGGTAAAGCCCTCACTTGCTCCCGGTCTTAAATAGAGCAGCAGGGTGACGTCATCATTTAGCGCATTCAGGTGCAGTGATTTGAGGCGGGGGGGGGGTATTGTAATTATATAATCGATTGGTAATCAGTCAATGGTTATGATTAGTAATGAGTTGTAGATTAGTAATTAGTTGTAATGTGTGTTTGTGATTATATGCTACGTTAGTAATCAGTTAATTTGTATGTGTTTCCCCTATAAGGAATTGTAATATGTATTATTTAATAATACGCTTCCAAGCTGCACTAAGCCTGTAGCTGTCAGAGCGATTAAAGTTATTTCTATTTCTCTCAATTTCAATGGATTCTCTAATTAGTCTTTGCCAGTAATAATTAGTTTTACACAACACTTCAACGTTATCAAAATCAATTGAGTGTCCTTGTTGACAAGCATGTTCTGCCACTGCCGACAGTTGTGTTTGAGATAATTTAATATTTATTTGGGTTTCTTTTAGTCTTATGCTGATGTTACGTCCCGTCTGTCCAAAATAGCATCTGCCACATAAACAATTAATCCGATATACACCTTCTGTTTATAATTTAGGCAATTCGTTTTTAGTGCAAAATACTAGTTTTTGAATTGTGTACTGTACCAAATCTTACTGTAATGCTTTGCTTTTGCAAAACACGGGCTAATTTGTCAGTTACTCCTGAGATCTAGAATTTTTTTTTTTAAGAATCTGATCGCTTTCAGCAGTGTTGCTTTGCGATCGTGATTTGGCATTCAGTGCTCTGTTAATTTGAGTATTATTGTAGCCATTCTGTCACAATACCTCTAACGTGTTTGATCTCACTAGACTTTCACCATCCGACACTGTTTTAGCCCGATGTATGAGCGTCTTGATAGAGGATTTCTGAGCTGGATTATGATGCGAATCTGCATTCAGATAGGCATCAGTGTGCGTTTGCTTTCTATAAACGCTGTGTGTTATTTTACCGTTTAGGCCATGTCCAAGCAAAATATCTAGGAACGGGAGTGTTATTCACCTCCATTTCCATGGTGAACTGGATGGCCAGGTTGTGTATTGAGATGATTTAGAAAATCATTCATTGTATCTTTACCATGTGGCCAGACAAACAAAGTGTCATCCACATATCTAAACCAAAAAGATGGTTTTAACGTGCTCTTATTTCAAAGTTTTCCATGTACAGATTTGCTATAGCAGGAGATAAAGGAGAGCCCATTGCTGCTCCTTCCTTTGGTTTAAAGAAATCCCCTCTCCACAAGCCGTGTTGGCTGGTGGAGGGTTATGACATTTATAAATAACGCGATCCAACCCAAAAACCTTTATTATGAATAATATTCGTCGCGAAAGCCTACGTGTTAAATTAAACTGGCTTCCGAATATCAGAAAGAAAAGCGTTCCATACGACAGCAGAAGCGCATCCAAGAGCACGCGATTAAATGACCGTCCCTTGTTCGATGGCTAACCAAAAGCGGAGGATTGGAGTATGCGCACGCATCAGCATCTGCCCAGTCTACCAAGTCACAACGAACCACAAACGGACACGTGTAAACCGAGATGCAGAGCAGATGGTACCACATTTTTCCCGGGTCAGAGGAGGAGGGGAGGGGGGTTCAGTTTCATGCGGCTCTGGCGCGCTCGTCCTCAGAAGACCACAGGACCCCAAACAATGGGCTCTTTGTTTCTGTCACGCTGCCGTTATTGCGAGTGGTCCAATTGACACAACATCCACTTGAAATCGTACTCGTCAGCTCGTGGCCTGAAGCATCCGTGCGCTGTACAGTTGATAATGCATTCAAGGTTAAGGGTAATAATAGAGATGAGCAAAGTGGCCTTGCTGCAAAAAGCCTGGGCTTGATTCTGCTTTTTACTGGCATGCTCGATTTTATAAAAAAAAAGTTTAGTTTGTTGTCCTTCCCCTGCACCTTCAATTAGCATGGTTGGCTACATACGGTGAAAAAGAAGTTTAACATACATAAATGGGTCGCAGAACAAATAGTTAATAATGGGATATAAATTCCAGATTTTGTAAATGCAGCCAACTGAACTAGGCCTGTGTTAAAGGCTACAAATGAAAAAAAAGGCTAAATGCCGCGAGTACTTTGGAGGTGGCCAGATGGCTCAGTGGTTAGAGCCTCGGGGTGAGATCGTGGGTTCAGCTCTGGGTTTCAGCCACCATGGATTTAATCCGGCCCCTGCCGTGTAGCAAGTTTGTCAGTCGAGTCACCAACGGCCGCACCAAAAAACGTTCACGAAAAAAGGTGCTTTTTCCCCCCCCCCCCCACTCGGTGTGGATAAAAAAAAAAATCACAGCTCTGGATTGTTTTGGTTGCGTGGACGTGTGATGAACAATGTTTCTAATGCATCAAATGGTACTCCCTCGCCCACCCCGCCCGCTCCCTCAGAAAAATAGACGTCTACAGTACTTAACAAGACTTTAGAAGTCGCAGTTGCGACATCAACTTCCAGGAGCCATTCATGAATGCGTGGTTATCCGCAGGAGGTCCCAATGTAAATGTTTTCACCCCTACAGCACAAGTGGAATTAGCTTGGGAAGACCCAAAATAAAATAATAATTGTTAACGTGAATGTTTCAAAATGTATTATTCTTCTACTTGTGTTAAATTTGCAAATTATCGGTCTTTTCTCAGTAAATAATAAAAGCCATCTTAATGGTCGACACAAACCCTAGACAGAGCCTAGGGTCAAGTCAAGGGCTGTGACAACAAAATAGTAGGGCACCCATCAATGGATTCATTGTAGGAGGACTCCAAATTACTTTGAACTCCAATTTCAAATGACAGCACCACAAGGATAAAGCACTTCCACATTTACAATTAATATCGTTAAAGTTATTTTAAAGTAAAACTAAAAACTTGTTATTTTACCAGGTAAGGCCCACTGAGCTACACAGCTCTTTTCTGACGTGACCTGGCCACAACTTATACCTCAACGAAGTGGCTTACCATGTGGAAATGTATAGCAGCCTTTTTTACTCCCAATGAATGTTTCTAAAATGTGGATAGAAAAACCAGAGAACTTGGGGAAACAAAAACACACATGCGACCACAGGGAGAACATGCAAACTCCAAATATACAGGCGTCAGGATCCGACTTACAACCTCCTGCATACTAGGCGGGGTAGTTAACAACCCTCGCCACAGTGGCACTCCACGGCGAAGTCTTAATGAGCTGCCAAAACAATTTGATACGAGGGTCCTGCTTGTGATATTTGGTCATTTGAAGAGGACATTTATGAGTAGCGTCACGTAAAAGTTGGGATTCGGAAGCAGCTCTTCAAGGATGTGACTGCCACCTACCTGCTGTACTGCCTTGCAGATCCCTCAATGCCCATGGAGCTGGGAGAGTTTGGGGACAACCACACACGGCACGCCATGCTGCACACCGCTTCCCATGAACCTGTGGTTCTCACAGTGCAGTCCCCAGACCGCCAGTGATCCCCGATGGTCCTCCATGGGTTACCAATGCAAATCGATCCGGAAATGGCTCTATTTTTGCCTTTTGTTTTGGACATTGATTCATATTTCAATGACATTTAAATTCAGTTTGGTAAACTACCCTGCTTAAACTACCTGAAGGTCTAAATGCCCCCCCCCCCCCCCACTAAAACCTTGCAGCTGTGTACAAAAAAAAAGCTATCTTCCGGAAATACGAATCCTTTTCTATTAGGGGGGTCTGTGCGGTCCGCAGAACCGCTGCCTCCAAGGGATCGAGAACCCCACGACACCTTCAACGGGGCCATTCGGTCTGTCCCATTCTCTGCTCAGCAGCACCTGCGAGTTCATCTTTCACCCACCCCACCCCCACAGTGGCAACCGCCAACATCCCCAAACGGCATGCGGCGAGAATCGGCGACACAAAATCACGACGGCAAAACCGCGACGCCCGCGCTCGCGAGAAGTACAAAAAAACAAAATCGGCTGTACTCACGATCGAGTCCGTTTATGTAGCGCATGGTAATCTCGCAGTGGCCCCACACGGCGCTCACCACGGGGTACAGCTTCCTGCCCTTGAGCCCGCGGAACGCCACGCCCAGGTACTGCCCATCCACCACGAAGCTCACAGTGCCCTCGTCCATGTCGAGCACCACGAGGAACGAGTCCGACACGACGAAGCTCTCGTCCGCCGTCAGGTACGCCGGGTAAGTCCTGTGCTCCCCGTCGCGGCCCACCGCCTTGCCGGCGTGGTAGAGCTTGTTGCGCCCGAGGTCCCAGCCCCACGAGTCTGCGGTGGAGCCGACGAGCGACGTGTAGCCCACCGAGTGGAGCGGCGCGTCCGCCGTCGCCACTCCGACCACGGCGTGGGTGCCCCGCTGGCGCGCGGGCCACGTCACCTCCCAGGCGTGGAGGCCCCGCGTGTAGCCGACGCGCCCCCTGATGCCGTCGGTGCTCTGAGCCACGGGGTGCCGGTGGAAGGTGGCGGGGTCGTCCTCCTTCACGTACACGTTGAGCGAGCGGTCGCGGTCGTTCCAGGCGTGGCGCGCGCGCACCTCGGCGCTGGCGGGCGGCAGGTCGAGGAGGAGGTCGAGGCGCGCCGGGCGGCAGAAGTCGGGCCCGAGGAATGCCTGGTGGCGCAGCGAGCGGCAGACGGACGACGACTCGACGTCGTCGACGTTCTTCACGCCCGTCGAGATCTTCTGACCCATAATAACGATGATTATACAAAAAGGGTGGGGGGGTGGGGGTGGTGTGTGGGAGAGGAGGGGGGGGGGTGCTGCGGCAATGAGGCCACCAAGCAAGAGCGATTTCGTCCTCCCGCCAGTGATTTTTTAACACCGCAGTTGGGGCCCCCCCCCCGGTTATCGTTGTGGTTGAGGTGGTCGAGGTGGCATTAATTCCGATGTGCGAAACGGAATGACTCTGGAGGATGGGTGGGGGGGGGGAAGATTTGCTGGAGGGGAGTAAAATAAATAAAGGGGGCACTCTTCACAAGGTCGACGTCTTCCACTTTTGGCAAGCGTCTTGAAATTCAATTAGCCGTTGCGGGAGCCTGCAATGCAAAAAAAAAAGTCATATGTTTGAGCTTGCAAAAGGAGTAGACTGCACCGGCGTGTCAAATAAAAAAATCAGCAACGGCGACCGAAGTTCTCCGCCGATTTCATCGAAAGGTCCTCAATGAAAAACTATTAAATGTCCGCAAGCCTCGATCGCGCGCGCAGACACGTTCCAGGATCGCTGGTCTTAATAATGACAAAACGTTGAACGAACCAGAAATAAAATCAATTGGACCCAGGTGCTGGAGAAGAAAAAAAAATATTAAGAGGGCATCAAATCCACACCGAGCCTCGAAACTGCAAGGAGTAACGCACCATGAAATTTTGCCACAATGTCACACCGTCGAGCCAAATTCCTCAAAACGCCGTCTAGGCATACTGTACCGCACGCATTTTTCACCACCACAGGCTCATAAGCGCTTTCATTTAAAAAAAACTTTGCCCCCAGTCTAACTTTATAATTGCAGTTGCTCCTGCACCGGATTGTATTTTTCTCCCCAACAACGTGCGAATGGAATTGCGATAGAAAAAAAATGCGATACATTTTAATATCCGTGGCTTTCGTTGTTGCACTGTACGATACGACCTTCGCTTGCCTGTTTGGCACCTCGGTTTCAAAGCAACAACATAGCCAAGTTGAAGTCCCAAGAGTGTAAAATAAACACACTTAACGTATTTTTTTCCTTTTACACGGAGACAAATATTGGGATTTTATTTATTTTGTTATCAGCTTGCTCCCACCGGCCACCATCACAATGATCATTGCGTTTTGTTTTAAATTAGATTGGAGACAAGACCGTGTGTGCTCGGGGAAATAAGCCTCCATCTACGAAGGGCCGTTTCTGCCAGAATCGTCTCCTATTACATACATTGTGTTATTTTCCACTCCCTTTAGGGCGGCGTTATTTGACGAATGTGGGCCGTTGTTCGCTGCACTGAAAGTGTGCCTACTGGAGGTTGAAATAATAATTAATTTTTGAAAGGACAAGGGGCACGACAAGGGTACAAATAGCAAGAGCTTTTTTTGGGTTAGATCGCGTAAATGTGTCGTTAACCCCCCCCCCCCCAACCACCCGACACAGCCAATTAGAGGAGGTTTGGTCACGTAAACAGAACATGCCAATTCGTGATTGATGCAAGGACATCGCTGGATGCCACCATGTTGTGGGTGTAGTACCGGGCTCTAAAGGGGCACGGTGTGCGCTGAATGGCACCAGGTTGTAAGTGCAGTGCCGGCCCTACAGCACAGGGTGTGTGGGTGCCGAACGAAGGATAGGGTTGTGTGAGGCCATGGCACTCTGGTTGACCCCGGGAGGGGACACGTGACCGGTTAAGTTGACAGAGGGGCCCCCATGATTGGGACCCAGATCTTTCGAGGACTCTGGAATGTGGACGTGGCCAAGGGCAGAGTCGGTCAAGCCACAGAGAATATAAGCCGGGTCCCGAGGGAGGGACCAGGGTTGTTGTTGTTGTTCATCCCGAAAAAGAAACCCTTCGTCTACCATCTCCGTTCAACGAGTCTTCCAGCACGTAGACCCGGGCAGATGTTGTAGTCCCGGGTCCGTAGTAGCAGTTACGTGGTAACTAGTGTAGTTAGCCGGGTGGTCACCACCTTACGTTGTTATTCTGTTAAGGGGACGTTACGCTGAATGTTGGAACTGTACAAATGTGTTGCCTCCAAAGTCTACGTCTGCGACTCGGTTGAATCCAACACACTAGTACAGCACACCGGTGTGTTGGAGAGTAAACCCACAATAATTACTATTGCAAATGTACAATTGCACACACCGGTGTGCTGTACTCGTAACGCATTGGCATGTTCTGGTTACGTGACAAACCTTTCCAATTGGCTGTGTTGGGTGGTGGCGGGTTTAACGACACATTTATACATTTACACGGTCTAAACCCAATAGAAAAACTTATGGATAATATTGGTCCCGAAAGGTCTCTGAACTACGCATTAAACAGAGTACATACTGTTTACAAAAAACTCAAACCAGCAGAGCGTTTTTCACTGGTGGTTACAGACAGGATCACCACACCATCCAGCCATCGGGAAAGCTCACTGCCCCCACCCCGCCCCAACCTACAAAGCCACTCTCCTATCAACGCGATACACGAGAATCTATTTTGAACGTCCCCCCCCCCACCCCGCCGACTCGTTACGTTAGCGCGAGAACAAAACGGAGCGCTCCGCAAATTCCAGAGATGCCAATTCGCGCGCGCCCTCAGTGGGTGGAGGAGAATTGGCCCGAGCGTCCGAACGAAGGCCACTTTGGCGGCGGCGGTGGCAGCCCAAGTTGCCAGGTGGCTAACGAAGGTGGGCGGCGGGGGCAAGACGGTCAGCCCGACCGAGCAATGTCCGTCCATTCGCCGGACCCTGTCCGACCACCCCCCCCGCCTCCCCAACCTCCCTCACGGCTCGTCCGAGTGGCCGCAAGGGTGTTAAAGGACATCGCGGCGCACCCACGTGCTATACTTTATACCAGCTCGGCGAGTAAACAAATACAAATAAGACTACCCTCCGGGCGCATCGGTTCCGCGAGGACGTGCGTCGAAAGCATCTGCCGGTTATCTCAGTCGGTAAACCCATGGTGGGGGGGGGGGCACCTGGGTCTGGGTCCCGTGACCTCGTTGCAGCGGGGCGAGCCTTCGACAACTTCACGTGGGCCTCGGAATGCACCTGGCCTGGCACAGGCGCCGTGGGTCACGGCACCGCCACTTGGTGGCAAATGTTGTTGTTGCTGCGCAAGCGTGTTGTTGAACAAGCAACGTCAACTTTAAGTGGCCACTACCCACCACCATGTTGTTTAGGCTACACTGGCCACCGCAAATATATCCTCTTGTTGTTATGACAAGAGCTTGCCTACAACCAAAATCACCCAGAATCAGACCTAAGCAGGGTTGAGCCTAGGATGGTTCTTGCGATGGGTGACCACCAACGTGAAGTATGGTTAAATATCCCCTCAGGAAACGTATGGCGTAGGGGAAAGGAGGTCCTCATCCAGCAGTGGAGTGTTAAAAAGGTCTACAAACAAGAGCTTGAAAAATTGCGCAGGCAGTTAGCGTTTAGACATTCCTACTGCAATGTTTGAAGACGAAGGGCAATCGTTTTAAATATAAATTCGAAACAAAAATTGAGTACAAGCAACTTAATTTAGGATACAAGCTCACATGTGCAACTCGGTTCTACTCAGTCACTCCCCTGCTGGATGAAAGCTTCCCCCAGACAGTCTGTCGTGGGTTTTATTTTGACCACGCTTCACCACGCTGGTCTGTGTGGGCTTTGGTAAAGTTGCCGGGGGGCGGAAGGCAAGAGACCTGTTCAGACATTAAAAAAAAAACGTAAATGACACTGGCGTTGAACTTGGCTGGGAATCCAATCTCGGGTCGCCAGGTTCATGGTGCAATGGTGCCAACCCGCTGAGTAACGCAGCTTCCTCCCCAGACACGCTCGGAAAATGAATCCCACATTGGGAGTTGTTCACAGCAAGTATAGAGTGGGGGGGGGGGGAAGATGTTGGCAGAGCAACACAATTTGCACCACTAACTACCAGCTTGCCAACAAAACAAAAATGTAATTTCATCTGTGATCCCATGTTGGCAAGACATTTTATCTTCATTATGGGAGGGAAGGGCAACAGTCAATGCAAATCCTGTTTATTTGCCTTCCTCGCAGTCTCCTTGCTCATCAGCCAAGGTGAATGGTGTGGAGGGGATACAATGAAACTAAGAATGTATGCCGTCACGCTACACTATAGTGGCTGGCTGCTCTCATTTCAGAAGTCTACACCTTATTTAGGCTCGTGTAAGTATATCGTTTTCCTTTTTAATACGCGATCGCACACGCACATTTATTCAACGTACATTTTTGTGCTCTGGTGTAGCATATGCACTACAAACTTTGCCCAGATTCAGTATGCGGAATTAAAGAAAATCGGTTCGAACACTCTAAAATGTGACAATGTACAAAAAAAAGCTTACGTGTTAAACGTACAAATACTGTCAGGGGTTGAAAGTCCTGTATGTGCGATCAAGTAAAAAAAGACACCCTTAAATTATTACAAGCAACCACGGGGATCGAGCCAATACGAGAAATAAAACCATCAAAGGGGGAAAAAAAAATCAGCCGTATGGACTTAAAGCGACAGAAAAAAAAACTTCAAGTTCTCAACAAACTTTATACCGGCGACGCGACTCATCCCTCTCGCTCCTGCAGCCCGGTCATCATTCATCGCCACCACACCGACCGTGAACGACGGGGAGCACACAAACTCACTCATTCGGAGAGCGCACCAACACCACCACCACCACCGCCACAAACAAACTGCACAAAATCCAGGCGCGTGCACCTGCAAAGCGGGGCCCCCACTCACCTAAGTCGCTCGCACAGACGGCAGTCGCCAGGTGCGAGATGCCACGGCGGCACGCGGAGGTGGCGTGTGGGGGATGGGGAGAGGGGGGGGGTTTGGCCACTCGCGTGTAGCTTTCTGTCTGCGTCAAGGCCGGCCGTGCGTGCGTAAATAAGGAGACGCAGCGTCTGGCTGCGGTGCCCGCCCTCTACTTGTGGAGGGAGCGAGCGATCACCTCCCCTCCCCTCCCCCTCTCCCTCCTCCTCCCTCCTCTGCCTTTGTACTCAAAACACCCCCCCAACCCTCCACACATTAAGGCCGACCGCCTCGTCCCCCACCTGCTTACTTCTGCTTCTTACGCATGGCCGTGACGCAAGCAGACAGCCCGGGGGTGGCGGTGGGGCTGAAAGCGGCGTGAAGTTAGCGCAGCAGCAGAAGCCGCCCAGCATCGCCACCGCACCAGAGGGCAGGATGCCACCATCGGGCAAGCGGCATTCCTCACTCACACCATGCCCCCCACCCCCCGTCACTTTAGACGCTCCCCTCGATGTTCAGCAGAATGGCATTCGCCACCGTCTGCTCCAGCCTCCACCCCCCCCCCGCCCGCCCCTCGGAAAATGTTTGACAATTAAGTCAAGAAAAACAAATCGTCAAATATGTGTAACACCAGTGGCGGGTTTTCTTATCCGTATCGTTTCAGTTTAGAGTTTGCTTGACATCGACTGTTGTGCAGACCCACTCTCCCCCCTCTCCTTGAAAACCAAACTCACGCTATAGTGTTCATACATGGGGGGGGGGGGGGGCGCTAGAGCAGAATGCACACAATCGACAAAGCAGCTCGCATCGGTCACTCATTCCCCCCTTGTTCGGGGTTAAACTTTTCTCTAAAAAGGATTTACACCGGCCGTGTCGTGTGCGACACACAGCGGGCATTTGACAACATCTCCATCCCCCTCGCCAACCATGACCGCACCTACCAGCCTCTCAACGACCCTTCCGAGCAGAAGCAACCCTCTTCCCCCGCCCCCTGCTCACTCTCTCGAGGGCCCCGCCACCCCTAACACCCACCGCCCCCATCCGCCTGCTGGATCAGGCCAGACGGGCTTTTGGATTCCCTGCGTCACTGCGCTCGCCCGTGGTTTGGGAACGCCCTGAAATTAAAACAGCTCGACGTCCGCGACCGACTCCTGTGCAAGACGTCGATGACAAGCGGCCTCTGTGTGCTCGGGGTATGGCGAAATTGTACATGGCGCCACGAAGGCTCTGGGCAGCAGAGCTCAAGTAAAAGGAACAGAGGGCGATGGAGTAAAACTCTGGGGGTGAGGGGGTCGCGCCCTCGTTAAATGGAATAGAAACGTTGTTATTTCGACGTTCAAAACAAAGAATAACTAAACTTGATTTGGCGCTTCCGCGACTGCAGGAATTACTCTTTTTTTTCCGATAGATTCGCGTAGAAATAAGAAATAATAATAAAATTACATAATAGCATACGACGTTTCGATTGCAACGCAAGCAATCATCATCAGGCATAGAAGAGCTAAATTTAAGAGAGGAACCACAGAACCGCAGATATATATACAGACACCTAAGTAGAGGGAGTTAACACAGAGACACAAAGAGAGACGCAACGTATTGAGCACAGAGAGACGGTCTCTGTGCCGAGGCCTCGGCATGTAGGGGAGACAAAGAGAGATGGAGAAGCACATCAAATCGAACAAGATTTAATAAAATTTGTAAACAATATAATGCAACACAATAGCATACGAAACGTCGTATGCTATGTAATTTTATTATTAAAGAATAACTACTTTCGCACCGGTTTTGCGCCATCCACTTGGAAGCTTTTACAACGATGTGAACAGGCGAGAGAATTGCAGCAGCAGCAGCGGGCGAAGATGGTTCAGAATATGGATTTTGCCCTGGGAGGAATCCGATGAGTTATGAAGCTCTTTTTCCAAAGGGGTCGGAAAGCTGAACAAAACAAAAACACGGAGTGCAAAGTGTCGTAAAAAAAGGGTGAACGAGTCACGAAAAATAAGTAAATAAAAATAAAGTATACAAGTTGCATAAGTAACGTGCCTGGCTGACGAAGCTGCGGGTCTGGCTCAAGGTGGCAAGGAGCACCGAGAACCTGGCACCGGCGAGAATCCTGGGTTTTGTTACCAGGGCAGCCGCTTGCGATTCAACTGGCTCCACTCAAGGTCTGGCGGGGCTCATGTGTCCGTCATAGCCCAGGTGCCCCACGCAGATGACTTGAACGCGCAAAAACAAAAAAAGGCACCCATTCCATTAAAATGTGGTTCTTGTGCATAAACTTCGCTAAATTCCCATTCTGAGAATTCTAAAAAGAGTTTGACTGTCACGTGACAAACATGATTATCGTTATGCTCATTTACCCAGGGAAGCTTCATCCGGAATCTCATTACTCTCTTCCATAAGGGTGGTCCCTGGGCAAGTTTTGGCAGTAGTTCTCTAGTGGCCGAGTGCGTGAAACGTGAAAAAAAAGAATCTCTGGAGGTGGCTCGCTCGCTGATGGTCCAGTAGGCTGACCTCCCCATAAAAATCTGAGCGCGTTGCACTGCCCAACAGAAGCAGCCGAATGGATATTGTTTCACGGTATGGACCTGCCCCCCCCCCCCAAAAGGTCGGTATAGAATTGTGGAAACTAAGACAAAATAATAATAATCGGAGGTTTCCCCCCCCCCCACCCCCACCTCGAGCAAGACGATATAATGCATTCCAAGTGCAGACGCGATTGTAAATAGTGCATCGACTAAAACAAAAAGCAGTCTGTTCATGCGTGCCAAACACTGCAGAGTGGGTATAAACGCAATGCGGTTGCATTGTTTTGTAATTGACGAAATTGCTGTATAAACGCGCAAGGTTTATGTAACCCTTGGTGAACCGAAGGTCACGATCCGCGCACCCTCGTTTCGCACAGTACGTAGCCAACCTGCGCTAATTGAAGTTCACACATACGTACATTGGAAGAGAAGCATGGTATGTGCATTTGTAAATAAAGACGCGGAGAGGTGGGGGGGGTTATAAATAGATAGGCGAGTTTGTGCCCTTGTCGTCATAAAGCCAAAATCGGAATGCCTCCATGACGCAAGTTTTAATTCGCCACTGTGCCTCCGGGCCACTTCAGGCCACGTTTAAAAAAGAAAACGCGCACACGCACGTAAAAAAAAGAATAAGATCACCCCCCCCTCCCATCTCGAAATTGTTAAACAAGGAGATGGCGTCACTGCCAGCCCCAAAAGCTGGCTTGTCTGCGGGCAGCATGCCAAGAATTCTGATCCTTCAGCACACACGCAATCACTCACGTGGTTCAAGAATGTAAATCTTACCGCTCCGCCCAACTCTTCTTCGGACTATGACTTCTACCCGCGTTGTCTTATTACCACCGTGCACATTTGTCAAAATCGTGCGGGTAAGCCAAGCAGGGATTGTTCCAGCAAGGACACCGTCAGGGACTCTGCCACCCCTCCCCTCCACCAAGGAGTCTCAAAACTGGCCCAGGGAAAATCGAATTCAGAAAACTGTGCACTGCCAGGAACGTGTAAAAAAAAATATCGCTGTCCCAAGCGCCACCCGAGTTAGATTACCAAGCCGGGGCTCGAGTGAAGCGCAGGGTGTCGAGTGAAATCCGAACAGGTCCCTGGATCCTCGGCGCCCTAAGGTTGGCCAAAAGGCGCAAGCTGCTTGCTCAGTGTCCTTTGCATGGCGAAAAGAGCTTCCAATTGGAGGTAGCCCTAGAGGATGCCTCTACCAGAGTCATCCGGCCTATTTCATCCACGTTGGCCAGATGCCTCAGGCGGAGGAAAGAGTATCCACCACACACTCAGGTTGACACACACTGCGCCAGGTACATCGATCTCAGACACCAGTTCAAATATTTGACACCGATGGCTCGTGAGCAGGAATTGAACGCGCGTCCCCAATGCGCTAACACACTGCACGCCAGCCCACACACGCACACGTTGTGTGGTTATGCATTGCTTGCACATTTACAAACTTTGTTTGGACTCCTGTTGTCCCAATACATGTATATCCTCTGTGTAAAAACCCAATGACAGGGCTTGCGCATTAAAACTATAAAGCAGACAAACGTGCCGTTTGTTTGGCTTCGATTTTAAAGAGTGGTTTGTCTAAAACTACTTTTCCCCCCCTATAGACCACTCACTTCAGCTTGCACAAGACGAAGAACAGAAACTAACGCGGACCATACATAGGAAACCAGGATAGTTTGCGTTCCTTTAAAATGGCAACAACAAAATAAAAAAAACCCGACAAACTCGCGCTCCCTCCCGAGGCCCTCTCGCCGTGGCCAGCAGACCTCGACATTGCACATTCAGCTCTTGAGCGCGTCGCCGTACGCACGGGTGGAATAGCGATAGCAGAGTTACGGAGGCGGCGACCGACCGCCACAGAGCCATGTGGCTGGAGGGAATCGGCCCAAGTTCTTGCTTCACACGTTTAATGACAACCCCCAAGTGCACCGCACTAGGAACCGGGGTCGTAGCTACACCCCCCCCTCCTCCCCACAGATGCGAGCACTTACATTTAACAAAAAAAAACTTTTAAATCGTTGCCGCCAAGGTGGGAAAAGGTGACGTTCAACAGAGGCATTGTGATATACGAAAAAAAAATGACGAGAGAGGAGCAATAAATGGATCAAGTCGACAATCAATAATAACTCAAGTGCATCCGGAATCTTGGAGTGCCGCGGTTTTTTGGGCAGGCAAGAACGGACAGCCATTCTCTCGCATCACGCACGAGCGTTCAAAAAGGCGAGCAATTTTAAGCCATCAACCCCGCTTGACGACTCACAATTGATTTTCGGGAAATATCCGTCGGTACTTAAGAGCACACCGACAACGCGTCCGGAAGTCTAGACAAGTGCAGTAAGAATGTGGTCACCGGCACGGCCTGGCTCGAGCGTTCGCCGCTTCTTGTTGAAGAGATTCGCGGTTTGAATCCAAGAGGCCGCCCCCGATAATCACTGCGGGAATAACAAAACGTAGTACTGTACCACGCCACCATCCGCATCAGCGGACGTTTAAAAGATCCCCCCCCACCTCTCCCGCTGGCGTCATTTGCTAGAGCATGCCATCGTGTGCTGGCGTCACGGCCCAAATTCTGATTCGGACCCCGACACAAATTACTCAATTGGCTTTTACACGTGGCAATCATTGCCCCCCCCCCCCTTACTGGCAGACTAATGACCCAGTTCCACGCTTGCCAAAATGGGACTTATCCTGATCTCTCTCAGGTGTTCACCTGGTTAAACCGAATGCACTTGGCGAAACTGGAATCAATAGCCAGTAGCGTACATTTAATTATTGCACCTGAAGTGTAGTTCATGTAAAAACCACGCTAAATAAAGGTTCGTCGGTACGACACATTGTGGCATTAAGGGTGAATAATAAAGGAGGCGTGAGGAACTTATGGGGGTCAATTCTATTTGAAATCTAAGCCAACACCACTGGGGGACCGTTCACTCGTCAAGGGCCCCCCACCACCCACCCCCCCCCCCCAACTTCCAGTGATGCTGTGCCCATTAAGCCCCTGCAATAGCCACCTGAGCCCTGCACCGTTCTACAAATCAGAGAGTCCCCTTCCATATCCCCCCCCCCATCCCCCCACCACCAGCCCATCAAGGCTCCGTACAGCAGAGAACATCGAGGCTCATCCACGTGTATGTACGCTGAACTTTTTTTTTCTCCACACCGTACGTAGCCAATCGTGCTTAAAAATCGGAGCAGCAGATCCTTGGCTCCTCGCACGCTGCCTTGCATCTGCGTGTTTCACAGCCCATCAAGCACGTATAGAAAAATTGGCGGCTCATCACCCGTTTTTAACCCAAGCCAGTGGTGGAAATTCCATATTACCATGACCGGTGGTGGAGGAGGTGGGGGGGGGGGAAGTCTTCCATCGGGCATGGTGATGGTACTGTACTCATTCTATTGACCACAGGAGGGATTATGGGCCTAGCCAACACCTAGCTACTTTGCCATCAAGGGCCGCTCGCTCTACTGCTGGTGCCAGACTAAAATGTAAAAGTGCCAACTTGCGCACAGTCTCAAATAAACGACATTCATTCCTCTGGACTCGTCCGAGGAATTGCGCGGGAGCTGCCAAAATTAAGTTGAAATAAGGTCCCAAAATGCAATAAAACACTGCATAAAAACACGATACAAGTAAATAAAATCTCCTGTATAACAACATCCTTTTTTTTTACTGCAACAGAATTTTTTCAGGGATGGATCGCACAGGCCATCTGGCTCAGAATACAGGCAATCAATATCCAAGCGGGCGTTCGGGCAAGGCAATAATTTAGCGACCGAATAATTGTGGCCAATTTTCCTGAATTTTAGACCAAAGCAAAAAAAGGTACACGGCCCCAGTTTCGTTAACAATGTCACAAGGCCCCGTATATCCACACACTCGGAGGGGGAAAAAACCCACTGCAGAATAGCGAAATGTGCCCACAGTTCATTGTTGTTTGGAGACAATGCTCGACCAGGGCAATTGGTCACAACGAAGTTTCGCAAATACGTCGTCACTTTATCGATATACCGCTACCCGACCTTTGGGTCGCCTCTCAGCCCTCGCCACTACCACCTACCCTGTAAAATTGCTTTGATTTACCGTCGTTTCTATATTCGTTGCCGCACCTGTCAGGAATGCATCATCGGACATAAAACCCGGAGTTTTTGCTGTGCTACGTTACTAGTCAACTCTACATTAATTTCCAGGTGGGATTAGCCGAATTGTGAAATAACCATCGGTCACACTTTTTTTCATAGACGCTGGTTATATTATTATTATCATCCATTCCCAACAATGTAGAGTTGGCGCATGACTGAAAAACGTGTTGTCAAGAAAACGGATTACTCTAGAGCAGCAATAAACAAAAAAACACAACAGCCGAACATTTCCCCCACCGCCAGTCTATACAAGTAACCCATGTTTTTTTGAAAAGTTTAGTGTGTAATAATACCAACTTGTTTTTTATTTAGCACCCGATACAGCGGAGCAAATTAGACGCTCCCTTCACCACGTGGTGAGAAACATTTGAAAAGGGGCACCCCCCCCCCTCCCATGGAAGCTGTCCCTGTGTGACAGAGACTCCGCACCTGGCCTGAAAAGCAGCGGCACGGGCATTTAGGTCTGCCGGCAGGGGGCGAAAATTGCTATACGTGTAATCCCAAGCGAGTGCATGTGGTGCGATAAATAAGGAGCAAATCAGTGCCCCGCCCACCCCCCATGGCCCTACCCACCCTCGCCCGTTTCGCTATTGCGGCATTTGACGCGTTTGTGTTATCCGCACCCACTGTTCCCCGAAAATACACCGGGAGTCCACTGGGCTCTTAGATTGCAAGTGGATCCCCGGCAGCCAGGGGGTGGCCAGAGCTGTTATTAAATCGGCCGGCCAGGCGATGACTCACCCCCTCCCACACACAGCTCGCCCAAGTTACATCGGTGGCGAATTACAAAAAATCAACCCAGGCTTTCCTTAAAAAACGTTGACAACATTAAAGCCCAAAAGGTATTTTTTTGTGCAAATTACCCCATCCACCCCAATTGACGGCAAACAGTAGACATGTGCAGTATACGGGAATGCTGGTAACCTTCATA